TACTACTACTACTACTACTACTACTACTACTACTACTACTACTACTACTACTACTACTATGATGATAATAATAATACTAATAATACTAATAATAATACGAATTATCATTATACGAATACGAATATTAAATAATAATGATACTTATAATAACAATAATAATAATCATAATAAACATACTAATAATAATAAGCATAATAATAATAAACATAATAATAATAATACTAATAATAATAACAACAATAATAACATTAGGGTGGGGAGGGTGAGGAGGGGAAGGGAGAGAGGAAGGCCAAAAGGGAGGCGGGGGGGGAGGGCAGGAGAGGGACGAGGACGAGGGCATCATGCTAGGCGGAGCGGCAGGCAAGCTGCTGGCGGGCGGGGGGAGGGCAGCGTACTCGGGACCAAATCTCCTGAGCGGCCCGCGGCGTCCTCTCGGCACTGCGGGCGACGCGTCAGATTGGCAGACTCCAGCTCGGGGCGGCGAGGCCTCCGAGTCGGGAAGGGGCCCAGAGCTCCGGCTGCGACCCACCAGGGCTCCGAAAGGAGAAGGGGCCGCCCACAGCGGGGAGAGGGCCCCCCCGTCCGTCCGCTCAGAGGGAGGGGGTCAAGAGCTCGGGACGCTGCCAGGGCCGAGAGCTGCGCGGTGACATCAGCCCCACGGCGGAGGGAGGCCTCTTCCCTCCAGCCGTCGCCACTCCGAACAGCCGTCGGCGCCGTGAGCTCCAGAGCCTCAGGACGGAGGCGGACGCCGTGGGCCGTCGGACACACGACGCCGCCGCCACCATGCCCCCGCGAGCCAAGGTCGGGAGCTCTGGGCAAACCAGCTGGCTGCAGACGCCCACCAGCGAAGAGGCCCGGCCACGGAGAGGGGGGGCGAGAGCGCCGGGGCCCCCTGACAGGCATGCCAGGCCTCCGGCGCGGCGGAGTGGCCGACGAGCGGGCGCCACGGGGAGCCTCGTGCCTCGCCTCCGCGCCAGCAGCCCTCCCAGAGCCAGACAGCAAGGGCAAGGCGGACGCACGGAGATCGGCAGGGTCTGGCTCGGGGCGGCAAGGAGTCATTCGGCAAAGGGCCGGGAGCTCCGGCTCGGGGGCCCCGGCTCCGGAAGGAGCAGGGGCACCCCCCCTGGGGACAAGAACTCTGGACCAACGCGGCCGCGGCAGCAGAAGCCCACGGCGACCGACATGGCCGCAGGGGTGAGGGCGAGAGCTCCAGGGCGGCAGAAGAGGCAACGGCCGCGCCCCGACGCCGAGGGCTATCCGCCATCCCCTGGGCCGCGAGGCGGCCCTCCCACACTCGCCAGGCCCTGCAACCCGGCTGAGGTGCCTGCTCTGCTCGCAGCGCGCTGGCGCACGCCAGGTCACGCGCGCGGTTCGCCGCAAGACTTGTCGTCGTCGGCCGCCTTCCTGATCATGCGCTGGAGGTCGCGGTCGGAGACCTGCTGGGCCCACGGCGGCGGCCTGAGGTTCGGCTGCCCCATCGCCGCCGTCAATTCTCCAGGGGGGGCAAGCCACCCTGACCCCCATCCGCCGGAGCGCAGGCGCCGCCGGCGAGCTCGTCCTCATCCCGCTCTGCGTCCTCGCCGCCGCCCTCCGCCTCGTGGGCCTCCCGGTGGCCGCGCCCGCTCCACGCGGCCGCGGTGCGCTCGTAGGCCGCCGCCAGCAGGCCAGCCTGCCCATCACGTCGCGGTCGGCCCCTGCGCCCGCGGAGGCACCAGCAGGGGCTTCCGCGGGACCCTCGGGCGCGACGGGCGCCCGGGGGCGCTCCTCCTCTGGGGCCATGGCGTGCCTCTGGTCAGGGGGCCACATGAGCCATGAGAATCCTACCCCTCCCTCTCACGATTTCTGAGGGGGGCGGCTCGGAAGCGGGAGAGGCTTGAGCCAAAACGGCAACGGAGAGTGCAGCTTTGACGCCTCGACGCCACAGCGCCTCGACGCCTCGACGCCTCGGTGCCTCGACGCTTCGACGCCCCGAACGCCAAGACGCTTTGACGCCTCCACGCCTCGACGCCTCGACGCCTCGACGCCTCGACGCCTCGACGCCTCGACGCCTCGAACGCCTCGAACGCCTCGAACGCCTCGACGCCAAAACGCGTCGACGCCTCGACGCCCTGGAGCCCAACCAGCGCACCCAGGGCCACCAGTGAGCAGGCGCGGCAGCCGGTTCGTGTACCTCTCCTCGGGGAAGGGGAGGAGGGTGGCAGGGAAAGGGGAGGAGGGAGGGGAGAAGAGGGTTGGAGAAGGGAGATGCGGAACAGGACCAGACGTGGCAAGGAGGGAGCTGGAGGACGGAGGACCAGAAGAAGCAAGGAGGGAGAGGGGAGGGAGAGGACGCAGGACGGCGGGTGATAATGAAGGAAGGACGGAAGGAACGAAGGAAGGCGTTCTGGAGTACGTACCGCTTCGGTTGTGCAGGAATTGTAGAGGGGTCCAGGGCTGATGAGGGAGAAGATGAACACAGAGGAGGAGCAGGAGGAGGAGGAGGAGGAGGAGGAGGAGGAGGAGGAGGAGGAGGGAGTCAAGCCAGCCAGCTCGAATGCGGCAGGGGTCCCCGCGCATTACCACCCTCCATCCCCGAACAAAACTGCTCGATGGTGGCACCACTGGGCGTTATCACAACAGTCGACGCACGTGCAAACGGACATTTGGACTCGCGCGAAGGGAAAGCATGGGTTGCGCACAGGCAGGACCAGGTAGGAGCGGAATCTTCTGGGAATCTCCGCGAGGCGCTTCGACGAGAGCACCACTCAGCCCGCTCGCGCGCGGCCTGGTTCCCGATAGGACCAGCGATTGACAGACACAGGCCGCGCCAGAGCGGGAGCAACGCTTTCGGGCGACGTCTGCGCCGCGCGTGGGCGAGAGCGACATTTCTCCCGCTCGCGCGCGGCCCCGCGTCCGCTTCCTCTGGCTGGGCGGGCGAAGAGTGTGCACGGCGCCTGGGCGGGAGCAGAGCCCTCACTCGAAAGCTCCACCGAGCCTGGGCGAGGGCGACAATTCGCCCGCTCTCGCGCGGCCCCGCTCCCAACGACTGGGCGAGTGAAGCACCTGCGCCGCGCGCAATCTGGATCGCCATTTGATCCGGCGGAGTCTGCGCGACGCTTCTTGGCCAGAGCTACACTTCGCCCTCGCGTGCGCGACCCCGTTGTCGACGAAGTTGCGACTGAAACATAGGATCCGTACCAAGCGGGAGGGCAACACTCAGGAACAAGGAGTGCGGCGCCGGAGCGCGAGCGACGTTTCGGCCTTTCGCTCGGGCTGTGCGCCCCGCCCCACTCCAGCCACCCATGCTGCAACGTCGACGACAGAACGTGGTCATGCTTTTTTTTTTGTCCAAATCCACATGCTTACGTTTGCATTGTTCCTTGGCTGTTCAGATGGAGGGTTGAGAGTCCTGATTATATCAGCAGGGTCCGTCTGAGCATGGTTTAAGCTAGTTGATTGGCGAATTCTGGAATTCTTCTCGTGTAGACTCCAGGGTGGTCCGAGAGCTCCGGTTTCTCAGTCGGAGTTAGTCAGCCAGGACGTCTTAGGCGGTTGACGAAGGTTTCAGGGAGGAGGTGGAGGGACTCTTTCCTCGAAGCCCGCCCCCACTCCAAAGCCACCTCGACAGGTTTCCCCCCTGTGTGATGTATGTACATTCCTCGTTTGCCTTCTAGGGATGCCCACACAGCATCACTGCCCGCTTTCCTCCGACGCGCGTCGTTGCAGTGGATCGCCGTCAACAGGTCGCCTTGAGCAAGATTGGGCATGGAGCATTGTTGGCAGTTGCTTGCCTTCTGTTCGCCAGGCAAGGAAGGGGTCCTGAGGGAAACGTGTCCTAGACGCCGATGCGTTCACTAGGACCATCTGTTTTCCCTGAATAGTTTTGTACTGTCCCGGGGCGCATGCGAAGGGCCGCAGAGTACCAACACCTGCAAGCAATTGCTAGGAGCACCTTGCTTCAGTATTCGTTTCCTTCATGCGAGCCTTATGAGGGTAAGCAGTACCCCCTCGACGCCCAAACCCTCCTTAGATGAGGGGATAGGTTACTCCGCGGGGTGCTTGGGTGGCGTTTTTTGAGTTAGACTTAGGGCCCAACCTAGCATATAAGTGGGGTGAAAGTGCCTTAAGTGGCTCAGGGTGGCTAGGTAACTCCGCTAAGTGGGGCGGGGCCCACTCACCCCGATATCTGACCCCCCCAGACCCACTTGTTGCCCCGTAACCCACCGATGCGCCAGGTCAGGGCAGATTAGCGCTCAGAATCCATTCATAATTCCCATATTCCCTCTCGCAGGCGGAAACCATGTCTATGTCCACGGACTCGCGGGCTGGACCCCTGGGCTGCCGCCCCATGGACACAGGGCGTTTCTTCGCAGACGCCCCGCGCGGGATGTATCCATGCGACCGCGTATCGGCGGGATTGCGAATGATTTCCAGACCGCGAGAGCTCGCGTATGCATATGTTCGCCGCTCGTGATCCTCAGTAGCCTCCGCGTTGATCCGGGTCGAAGCCTCCTCGAGCAGGGGGATGGATTTTCATCATCACCCTTCGACCTCAGGGAAAATAAAACTACCCAATGCTGAATGTCCACATTGCAATGCGGATGAGTGCACGCGCAGCATTCCCATCGCAGGGCGTGGGCCCTATTATCGCCCGTCTGGGCGCGCTTCGCGCGGAGGCTCTAAAACGAGCGTCAGGCCCACGCACTCTCTGCGTTCAAAGATCTGCCACAACAAGCCGCGTTCGAAGACCTCCCCCTTCAAGGGGCCAGACCGCGCACCCTTGCCCTCCACCTTCCGAACCTCCCGCGCAGCAGTTGCCGCCGTGGCGCGACCGCGGAGGCCGCCGAGACCGCCTCTGCGGCCTCGACGGCGGCCTCGACCGTGGCCGCTCTGGCGGCCGCCGCTGCGCGGCATCTGCCGCCCGGACGGTGCGGAAGGCGGAGCCCCCGAGGGTGACGGGTGACACGCCCGTGGCACCCCTCTGCGGACGCGGGGGCCCCGCCGCGATCGGCGGGCCCCAGGCGCCCGAGCCCATCACCGTGCCCGCCAGGCGCCCGCCCCCGCGCCCGGCCGCCCCTCTGCGGCTGCTGCCACTTTGCGCGCGCAGCGGTGCGACGACCTGTGGTGTCCAGAGCCCGGAGGCAGCCGGGCGGCAGAGGCTGCTGGGAGGTCCTGCGAGGGAGCTCTGGAAGCTCCGGGGAGGGGCTGCAAGCTGCGCGCATCGGTGCGGCGATAGAGATCCCTGGCATCCGCTCGCTGCGACAGGATCAGGACGGAGGGCCTCTGACAGTGTTCGGCTTCCGGGGGCCTTCAGCAGGCCCCGTGACAGTCAAACAAAATTATTCGGGATGGGAAATCAGGCCCTATGGAATCGGGGGTGCGGACCTTCGGGGGGCCACGTGATGAAACATCTCGACGTCGGATGTCTGGGATGGGCATGGAAAGAATTGGGCGGCAGACAGAACCCATTCCCTATCCATTCTGGACAGGGCTCGTTGTTGGTGTCGCCGCGCGCAGTGTCCGCTCGGCACGACAAGGCGTCTGCCCAGCAGCGGCCGCTGCCGGTTTTGGACAGCATTTCCTGTCAGGCATCGTGCCCTTCTTGTCCGTGCCCATCTCGGGCGTGCCAACAGTCAAGAAGTCGAAGTACTCCGAGTGGGGGGGTTCTGCGCATTCCCTGCCTGGGACACCGGTCCTCCTGGATCTCGACAGGCTGCGGATATGGACAGATTCGGGCCACCCTGGGTCAAATACATTCACATCCGCCGCCCCCTGGGGTCCTAGTGCATCGGCCTCCGGGCGGTGGATGTGGATGAATTTCCCGCCTCCCTGCCAAGGAACAGTCAGGATTCTGAAGGTCCTTCTGTGGTCGCTCCTCGTAGTGCTCCTCGTGCATCAGGCTGCTTTTGGGGGTCAAAAGGGAGTGGCGTGCCGCTCCTTATTTGCCATGTCTCATGGTGCTGCTTGGATCACCGTGGGGGGTGCTCAGCGGAAAGGAGTACTGAAAGAGTCTGCGAAGATGTTATCGCTGGACGAACCTGGTTTATAATTGAGTTGCAAGTGCCCTGATTTGCTTAGCGGGGAGGGAGGAGTCTGCTAAGTGGGCAGCTCCTACTCAGCACTGACATTCAAACGCTCGGGTGCAAGGCTTGGCCAGGTATCACCCACCTGAGCATCCTGCCAAACCTCTTAGTTAGCTATTCACTCAGCAACCTCCGCAGTGATGCAAGTAGTCTGACTGTAAAAGTGGCCCTTCGTCGAAGCGACCTCCTGTGCGCGGCCGCCGTCGGGGTGCGCGGGGGGAGCAAAGCCCAGCGACGTCTACCAACGTGGTTGCCGCTCCCTGCAGGAATTCAGCAACGTGTGCTTTGTGATGCCCGCGCCCCGCCGGGAGCGTTGCAGGGGTGCTCGGTCCGTCCTGGACGGCCGCCAGAGTCCTGAGCTATGTCCCGAAAGCCGAGTGGTCCTTCGCCAGAGCGACCGTCTGTTGTGTGGCTGTCGGGGCACGCGGGGCGGCACGCCAAAGCATGCAGGCCGTTGCCGTCGCATCGCGCGCATTGGTCGGCCAGCCGCGCACCACGGGTCACCCTTGCCTCGGGTCACTGTTGCGTTTGGCCGATGCTGTTGGCTCATCCGCTGCACGCTTGCGGGCCTCTTCCAGTCTCGGAGACTGGGATCCATCGATACCCACCGCCTGGGGAACCGTTACTCCGAATCCCTCATTAATCGACCCCCCACCCTAAAAAACCAGACCCCCTAAGCTTCAATCCAAAGAAAGCACCATAATATACCTACCCCCCCCTGTTACAACAGAGTCGCCTTGCAAAACCGGACCCGGGGGACGATTAACAAGGGATTTGGAGTACGTTGGAGCCCCCCCCGGGGGCTCAAACATATCCATATCCACCGCCCACTGGGGCCCCAGGACATCGGTTCCCTAAGCGGGGATTATGGATAAATCCCCGCCACGCACAGTCGTCATGTGCCAACCTCCTTTTCATTCTCCTCCTTGTGCCCGCCTCCCCCCTCCACCTCCACGTGGCTATTCTCGCCCTCCTCGTCAACGCCCTGCTTCTGTTGCTGCTCCTCGACTTTCCACACCCTCCAGCTACTACATGCTATCCTCCTACAGTCAAGCCCCATCATGAGGACAAGTGACGTTCCGAGTTCCAAGGGTGCCATTACGCTCGTGCATTTTCGGCCGTTCCTTCGCCTCTTCGGCCCATGCGGCGCCGCTCAAAAAGCTCAGCTTGGGTGTCCAAGGCCATTGCGTCCTCACCGCGCGTCCTCATGGTCGGGTGTGACTGTGATTATACCCCTTTCCTCAGGATGCAACTCCTGGGACGTCAAATTCACCATCGGCGCTGCTATATCCGTGGTCGCAAACCCGCTCAACCCAGCCTATTCCCGCTGAAGCCCTTTTCAACTTCCTTCAGTCCTGCACAACCCCGCTCAATCCGCCCTAATCCCAGGCCTGCTCTGGGCCAAATCTGGCTTGATGGCCTCTGAATCGGGCTGAGCAGCCCGCAATCGTTCTCACGAGGACATCCCAGAAGCTGCCTGCTCACTTGAGCGACGGGAGGAGCGGGGTCGTCTTCACCGACATTGGCGCGTAAGCCGTCCGCGTGAGGCCGCGCGTACGCGCCCTCTTTCTCAGTGTTGCTGGCCGCGCTGGCGACCCGCGTAAGCCACCGCGTAAGGTCGCTATTGATGGGCAGAGTTTCCACCACCACTACAGGTTACAGAGGCTGGAGGAGGAGGAGGAGGAGGAGGAGGAGGGGGAGGAGGAGGAGGGGGAGGAGGATTGGAGGATTGGAGGATTGGAGTTGGAGGAGGAGGATTGGAGTTGGAGGAGGATGATTGGAGTTGGAGGATGAGGAGGAGGAGGAGGAGGAGGAGGAGGAGGACCTCCCAATCCTCCCTCCTCCCCCGTCCTACCTCTCCCCTCTGCTGGCCGCTCTCCTCGCCCCTTCCGTCCTCGCCCTCCTGCTGCTGTCCCTCACCCTTCTGCGTCATCTTTCATGGCCATTGCGTCGGCGTCCACCCCACTCCCGCAGCAAGCGCATCTGCGACCAGAAGCCTTGCCGTAAAACACCTAGGGGCACGCGTCCTTCGTCGACCTTTAGCTTCGTGATATTCCCCAGGGCCCTGCGGGCCCATCGTGGGATAAAAGAGGTCTTCGTGCGGCACCCGCTGGCAGGGCGGTCTCTGATTTCGCGTGCCTACTGTACCCCCTTTCTCGCTCTCCTCCCCATTCCTCCTCCTCTTGCTCGTCCTCCTCGTGCTTGTCCACGGCCTCTTCCTCCTCCTCCTCCTCCTCCTCCTCCTCCTCCTCCTGTTCCTCCTGTTCCTCCTCCTCCTCCTATTCCTCCTCCTCCTCAAGCTCCTCGTGCTCGTCCGCGTTCTCCTCCTCGTGCTCCTCTTCGCCCCCGTGCTCGTACACCTCCCGTGGCCTTCTCCCCAGCAGCCGCCCCTGCTCGAGCCGCAGCCTCGCACTGGTCTCTCGCGGGCTGCCTTGCGGGCGGCTCGCGACGTTTGTACATAGGCGCCCACGCCAGCTGCTGGCCAGGAGGAGGAGGAGGAGGAGGAGGAGGAGGAGGAGGAGGAGGAGGAGGAGGAGGAGGAGGAGGAGGAAGGGTAGGAGGAGGAAGGGTAGGAGGGGAGGAGGAGGAGGAGGAAGAAGAAGAAGAAGGGTAGGAGGAAGGGTAGGAGGAGGAGGAGGAGGAGGAGGAGGAGGAGGAGGAATAGGAGGAGGCGCCCACGCCAGCTGCTGTACAACGGGGGATTCCAACTACCCAGGTCTTCGATGTGTTGAAACGCATTACGAGGCACCCCGCAATTGCGGACAAGAGTGAGGGGGCGAGCGCGGGGTGGGTCGCGGGTGGGTCGCGGGTGGGTCGCGGGGTGGGTCGCGGGGTGGGTCGCGCGGTGGGTCGCGCGGGGGGTCGCGCGGTGGGTCGCCGGTGGGTCTCGGTCGGGTCGCAAGCCAGGGAATCCGCGCCGAGGAATCCCGTTTCAGCCACGCACCCAGGGACAGGGTAAGACCGTTCGGCCCTTTCATTTTCATTTTGCTTTGAACGATCCCTCCCCGAGGTTTCAGTCGTTGAAGACGCGAGGCGGGATACTCAGGGAGCGCTGGCACGCTTTGGGCCCTGACGGCCGCGGCATGTTCCTGGAGGGCCCCTGTGGACTCTAGTGGCTCAGCCCTACCCACGACGGCTCGCCGCTAGATGGGCGAGAGCACTCGTGTCGGTTTTGGGTGTTTTGCTGTCGGCGGGGATGATGTGCGACACTACTTTGGTTGTCCTGTAGCCCTGAATGCCTTGGAAAATGTCCCTGCCTGCCTGCCCGATTGCTTGAGCTTCCCCTTATTGAGCACATGCTAGTCCATATTATGTGTTGCTCCAGCCTTCCAGAGCTTCTGTGTATAGGTATTGCTGCCGATCTTTTGCTTTTCACCTTCAATTCTCTTCGATCGAAGGGCAAGTGCTCGGAATCCCTCGTTACTCCTCAAATGGAGGCCAGGTGCAGGGCTATAGCCAAGAACTCTGCCAGAGCGCGAGAGCTTCTCACGCGGTCGTAGCGGTGCGGCCTGGATCCAGGACTCTCCCCAGGGGCGTTCACTCCTCCTCCTCCTCCGCCTCCACCTCCTCCGCCTCATCCTCCTCTTCCTCCTCCTCCTCCTCCTCCTCCTCCTCCTCCTCCTCCTCCTCCAGACGAAGGTGGTCTGGGCAACATCGGCGGCTTTCGGGCCATCACCCAGGCTCTCAGTGGCTGTCCGGCACGATCTGGGCACGCCTGGAAACGCTTACGGCGACGCGCTGCTGGGAATCGAAGAAGAAACAACCACATAAACAACATTTTTTTGCGATCCGCGCGGATTTCTTGGATCCGCGCTGGGCCCCCGCGGTGGCGCCTCCGGCGCCGCCCACGGCGCGCTCCGCGCGCCAGGGGAGGGGGGGGTCCAGCGCGGATCGAAGACATCCGCGCGGAGCGCCAAAAGCTTATGTTGGTATGTTTGTTTGTTTATTTTTCTTCTCCTCCTTCTTTTTCTTCTTCTTCTAGGGAAGCACCCCAGGCTGGAAAACTTACAGGCATTGACAAACGTCCGAAAACCTCGAACTCCCCAGACCCCCGACGTCGTGTTTTTGCACGGCGTCGGCCTCCAGAGCTCTCGATCCATCCTACAGGCCCAGCTTCTCATCCTGAGCAGTTTTGTTGCTGGTCCTGGAGCCTGACGAGGGCCCCCAGCTGGCGAACGCAGTCAACAACCGAGCGCTGTGTTTTCTCACGACGCGAGGGGGTTTGGGTTGGAATTTCGAAGTTCCCTGGAAACCAGTGCTGCACTTAGAGGTTATGACTTGCGTTTCTAAGGAATTGGATGGGTGTCCCGAGAATTCGCCACGCCGCCCCGTTGCCGCCTGATGCTGCCTGTGGGGCTGTCCCAAGGATTTGCGACGGTCGGGCCCGTTGTCGTCCGTTGCCGGCCGTTGCCGCCAGGGTCCCGAGGATGCATACCTGTCGCATCACATAGCTTATCCAGACATGCGATGTGCTGATTTGTTCAGTAATTACGGGGCTCGGGTTCTCTGTTCTCTTCCTGAGCTGTCTTCTCAACAGCCCCGGGGCCCAGCAAGGGCTCCCGGAGGCTCCAGAAGGGCAAACAGAACGCCTCTCGTCCCGAGCTGGTACACTTCCGCAGTGCCACGACCTCCTTCTACTTGGAGCCCACGCTGGCGAACCTGCCCGCCCCGAGGCCTGCCCGGGCCGCCCCAATGGCCGCGTGGCGCCTGCCCCGCGCCGCGGGGCCGCTGTGCGCCCCCGCGGCTCCGGGCGCCCGCGCCCGCCTGGCCGCCCCCGGGCGCGCGCGCGCGCGGGCGGGGGGCGCCGGCGCGGGCGGCCCGGCCGCGCACGCACCGCGGGCTCGGGCGCTGGCCTCCGGGGCCGGGGCGCGCGCGCCGGAGGCCAGGCGAGGGGAGGTGGGCGGCGGGAGCCGAGCCCCACCCGGAAGTCGGGCGAGTCCCTCTCGTTTTGAGTTATCACCCCCTGCCCCCCCTCGATGCAGGCGAATCGATGCTGGGTGGGGGTGATTCGGGTGTCGCCTTCCAGGAGAGGCACGAGCCCAGACATGCTCGCACGCACGCGCGCAGCCAAGCATCCATACGGACGCGTACAGGCAGAGAAGTGGTGCACAGGCAACTCTCCGAGCAGGGCGGCTGGGAGAACGTACTTAGAGAGTGCAAGGGCGTGCAAGGGTGTGCATTTGGAGTGTACAACGCACATATTCCCTCTTCTTCGTTCTTCCAGACATGCGCGTCGCGTAGTGGAGACATCGGGACGGCAGGTTTTGCGCCGTTCTGGGCCTATGGTGAACCTTGCCGTTCCCTATAGAGCCGTTAAAAATCGGATCGTGAAAAACAGCCGGCCCCAGGGAAGGGTCGGGACTTGGGAGACTACCGGAGCATCGCGTGTCTATCTTCTTCGGCGGAAGGGCGGCGGAAGTCCAGCGGTGTCGGTCGGTGCTTGGATCACCGCGGGAGGTTGTACCGTGTATGCCGAGGTGGGCCATACCTCGCCGAACGCTTGTTATTAGTAAGTGGGTTGGAAGTGCCCTAAGTCCTAAGCGGCTTGGGGGTAGAGGTCCAGGCTGGGCTCCGCTCGCATACCCGAATTTTTGAACCGATCCGAGTCACTCAGGGCTTTCGCAGCCCCCTTCTATGTCAGGTTAGGCCAGATCTCATTCATCATAGCGTCCACTTCGAACCCTCCTGGACTCGCATGCACTTAGCCACCTCCTCAGTGATCCAAGTGCGCGTGTTCTCGTTTTTGCCTCTTGTGTCCTCCTCTTGTGGGGTCCATCTCGGCACGGCCCAGCCCAGACCTCCCAGCGCATTGACAAAAACAATTTGTCTGGGTTAGTTTTTGTTGACGGTTTTCCGTCTCTGGGGTTCTCGTCGGGCCCCAAGACGGTTAAAGCAATTGTTCAGGATGGAAAGCTGGTCCCAGGGGAATGGTCCGAACTTCTGGGGGCACGTATTGAAACACATCAGGACATATCGATACCTGATTTATCGTGTACCTGATACCTGATTTTTAATTTTTGCATTTTTGGGCCTCCCCCCCTGTGTGGTATTCGACGGCACGGGCTCCTGGATTTGCCTCGAGGTCCTAGTCAGAGCGCTCCCTGGTTCGAGTGTCCTGGATGCAGCGGTGCCGGATTTGTTTGGTTCCCCCAGACGGATGTGCTCGGTGACGTGAACATGGCCCGCATGAGGGCGATAAGGAAGGACCTGGACCAGCTCGAGAGCCCGCTGGGCAACATCAGGAAGAAGGACCTGGAGATGCTCAAGGCCAAGTGGGGCCTGCGCGCGGCGATCTCGGGCTCACAGATCGATAAGGCCGCGGCCATGGAGGAGGTCAAGCACGAGCTGCGGAGTATGTGCCGAGACCTCCCGCCAGCGCCGCCCCGAAGCGCCTCGAGCGCCTCCGCGGCGCGGCAGCCGCTGCCTGGGGCTCCTGGGCGTCCCGCGCTCCCCGCCAGCGCGGCTGTCGCGGCCTGCTCCTGCCTCGGCCTCGGCCTCGCCGCCGCCTGGCACCTCTCGGGGCGCAGCGCGCCTGCCGAGCCGCCGCCGGCGCCCGCCGCGGCTGCAGCCGCGGCCGGCGGAAGCCCCCACGCCGCGGCGCCCACGGCCGCGCCTGCTCCCGCGACAGCTGCCTCAGCAGCGCCGGCCTCCGCTCGCACGGCGGGAGAGGCCGCCGTGGGCGCCCGCGCTGCCGCGGGCCAGGTGCGCCCGGGACCGCCCGGCGCCCCCGCCGCCGCCTCCGAGGCCGCGGGCCCGGGGGACGCGCCCGCCGCATGGCGCGTCGCGGGCGCTGCCGCCGCGGCGGCCGGCATCGCCGTCGGCGCCTGGTGGCTGCTGGCTCGCTCGCCGCCGCAGCCGCCGGCCGCAGGGTCGGCGCCGGAGGGCGCCCCTACGCAGGCGGAGGCCCGGGTCCCGCCGAGAAGGAAGCGGGTCCTGAGGGGAATGGGTCCTGGTGCTTCGCCGTCTTAGGCCCCACGGGACCTTCCACTGGCCCTGGAACCTTCATGAGAGAACGACTCGGGATGAAGAAGTGGCCCATGGGGGAAGGCCCCGGGATGCAGGACCGGGTCCTTTTCCTTCATGCTACCCAGACCCCCGTCATCAGCATGACGCGACCCCCAGAGGTCGGACCCTTTCCTCGAGACCGGCTTCTCATGTTGAGTCGTTTTTTGACGGTCTCGAGGGGGAGGGCCCCCAGAGACCGAAAATAGTGAGAAACCTCCCGTCGTGTTTTTTTCGTGACGGGGTCTGGGACTGGCCCTGGGGGAAGGCCCCAGGATCCAGGACCCGGTCCTTTTCCTTTACGCAGTGGTCTCGGACGTGGATGGAACACCACTCGTGCCGAGTGGCCCCTTTCTGTCGGCTCTCGAGAGGGTGCGGCGGCCGCTTTGTTCCCGGGCCTGCGCCCGCCAGCTAGGTCTGGTCCCGGGCCGTCTGTCATCTTCCAGAGTGGTTTGCCAAACGGGGCTCTGTCCTTCCCCGCTGCTCGCTCCTTCCGCCTCCGCTCGAAGAATGAAGAACGGCGTAAATCTAACTTTCTGGCGCTCCGCGCGGACCGTCGAAAGTTTATGTAAATGTCATTGTTTCCTCCTCCATCCTCGTCCTCCTCCCCCCAGGCCTGGCCCTCGGCAGACTGATCTCTCCCAGCTGGGGGCCCCATGGATGTCCCGGCCCCTTCCCTGGGTGCGGTGTTCCGTCCCCGAGCCAGGCGGGAGGGCCCCGGGGGCCCGGAGACCTCCCCAGGAGGCAGGGCTCGGGAAAGGTGCGCTGGTCGGCATCGTGAGGCCTGTCCCCATCCCCGCTGGGCAAGCATTTCAGAAAGACAATTGTCGGGTTGGGAAGATCGGACTAGGAGAGATGACCAGATCATCCGTGTCATTGCGTACGTCGAGTGTGTTTATAACACAGTCGTGCCCCGTATGTTCCCGACCCCATCCTACCAACTCGATAATTGTCTTTCTGGGCATGTGGCCCCGCTGTCCGAACTGCCCCCTTCGGTGGGGATAGATGCCGTTTCCGTCGAGTTTCGCGGCGCCCCATCCCCATCTCGAACGGGCAGGCTGGTGGCGGCAAGGTCAAGTCGGGCATTTTCCTTTACAGGAGGAATGTTCAAGAATAGTGAAGTTCATCGCCCTCGCTGGTTGGTGCGACGACCTCCCCCCCTGCTCCCTGCAGCCTTGTTGGCACAAGCTGGCGACGGTGTCATCGACGCTGTGGCCATCCACGTGGCTCGCTGGCGCTACGCCAGGACGCCCTCCAAGGCCTACAAGGTCTTCGCCGCGCATCGCAGCGGCCCCTTTGAGGACGGCGAGGAAAGGAGCCGCAGCCTTCGGCGCGAGGCCCCGGCTGGGGCTGGCAGGTACGGCGGTAGCGGAGAGCGCCAGGGGGCGAAACTTCCGAGGGCGTCTCGGCGCTCTGAGGGGCCGCCTTCGCGGCGAGGCCGATCGAGCCGAGGGGCGCACGGCCGCTGCGGCGGAGCACGAATCCCAGCTCGCGGCCGCCGATCGCGCCGACGAGGCCGGCCGCGAGCCCAGTGGCTGGGAGCTGCGGTCAGTGCTGTCGCCTTCCTCTGAGGGCGCTGCCGTTGAAGGGCGCGGCCGCGGTCGCCCGGGGGGGGGCTGGCTCTTCGCGCCGCGATCGTTCGGCAAGCCTGCAGGGGAAGCTGGCCGCGGAGATCCAGGGCGGAGGCCCCTCGAGCGCCAAGCGGCGTCGCTCCCGCTCGCCCGAAAAGCGGAGGCGCCGAGGGGGGAGCGGGCGTCGCCGCTCTAGCCAGAGCCTGGTTGCCGGGGTAGCAGCGGAAGCAGCTCAGGGTCGCATTTTCACGGCGCCCGGCTCTGCGCGGGGCCGTTTCAAGCGCGCGGTGGAGAGGTGGCCGGGCGAGATCACGCAGCGCGCGATGGCGAAGATGCGGGGGCACTTGCAGGGCATCGACGTCGCGGTCGGCGACGCGGACCCAGTGTTCGCCACGTATCTCACGAGCGTCTTCATCCCGAGCACGAAGGGAACCCTGTCGGCGAGAAGCGACCAGGAGATGCGCGTCCTGGCGGCGGCCGTGGATTACGCGCTCAAGGGCGACCTCGCCCGCGCGACGGACGCGCTGGTCCAGCAGATCAAGTGTGCGGAGCAGCTGCGCTGCGACGGCGGGAGCTGGAAGGCCGCGAGGCACCTCGGCGTGGTCGAGGATGGCAAGGCATCGGCAATGGAGGACAAGGAGAAGGAGGCCATCCACCGCGACGAGCGGTCCGACATGAACGCCTCCAGCAGCAGGTGCAGGGCTGCCGTCGCGGCGCCGATCGCGGACAAATGCCTTCGGCTGGTCTCCGAGTCCCGAGGCTCCGTCGAGGGCCCCCTCGATTGGGGGGGGGCGACGCGTCGGCCGCCTGCGGCGACGTCGAAGAGGGCAGCTCGCAGCCCCGCCGACCATGTCGCTGGCGAGAGGTCCACGAGCCCAGTGCTCCTGGGGCCGGGGCCTGAGGTTCGCGGGGAGGAGCCCGAGATTGCCCGCGCTGAGCTGGATGCGCGGATGGTTTTTCGCCCGCGAGTAGACCCCGTCCTCCGCCCCGTGACGCCCCCCTTCTCATCCCATTCCCCCTCCTCCTCCTCCTCCTCCTCCTCCTCCTCCTCCTCCTCTTCCTCCTCCTCCTCATCGCAGATGTAATCTCCGCGACGAATGCCCCGAGAAGAGAGGTGCCCAGGAGCTCCCGAGAAACAATTCCCTTAGAGGTTCCCAACATGAAAGCCCCAAACATAACCCCAATATCACGCGCACGTGGAAAACAAACCATGCGCCCATAGGGCTGGCTTTCTGAGTCTTGATCGGTTTTTGCCTCTAACGTTGGGGATGGCTTGCTTTTTTCCCTGGCCGGCCAATTTTGCGCGGCCCCTTTGCGACCACTTCCGCGCTGCCGCTTTTTGGCCATGCCACGAGCATGCATTTGCAGAACTCGAACATCTGGTTTCTGTGTATTTGCTATGCGGTTGACAGTGCTCTCGCGAGCGCGTGGAGAGTTCAGCAAAGTTCACACTTTGTTGAATCGCCATGTCGGCCAGAGAATTAATTCACTTTCTTCGTTAAGGGTTCACTTTAGTGTTCACGTCAGAATGTATATCTTCCCATTGCTGATCATACAAACAAGCTCACCTCGCGTGCGTCCGCGCGTGCGCCCGCGCGCGAGCGTATCGCCCGAAATCACGTTGGTCACCGTTAGAGGCGCACTTTAGTTTCCAGGCCAACATGGAAATTCTTTTGTGCTTGAAAAAGACTGATAAGTTATCCCAGCAAAGCAACCGAACAGCCATGTGTATGAGCATATATGGAAGCATTATTCTTTAGATTCATGTTCGGATTTGACTGGAAGCGAAACGCTGCGATCAATAGTGGACGTGTCTGCAAAGGAGACACTACTATCAACGAGACAGCACATTCTTTGTGTGCTCATTCCAAACGAGACGCTGCTACGCAGGGGTGTAGGTGCAAACGAGACGCTGCTATCGATGGTTTCCGCCCCAAGCGAGACACGAATATCAATGGATTTAATTTCGAACGAGACGCTACTACTTACTACTACGGATGCGTCTGGAAACGAGACGCTGCTATCAATAGCAGATGTCTCTGCAAAGGAGGCACTGCTATCAACGAGACAGCACCTTGTTTTTGTGTTCATTCCAAACGAGACGCTGCTATCAATGGATGTAAGACCAAACGAGACACTGCTATCAATGGATTCAGCCTCGAACGAAACGTGCTGCGGAGCACCGTATCTCACTATCCACGGCTGCGCACGAGTGCAGGTTGAGAAGCACCACGCGCATGCAGGCTGAGAAGAACCACGCGAAGGCAGAAGGCCAGGCTGAACAGCACCGCCACAAAGCAGGCTGCATCTCAGGGCTCCTCAAGCTCGCGCAGGCCAGCCCAGCGCCTGTCGGCCTTCGCGCAGGCGATTTTTGTCGTGGCAATCTCGTCTGCGCAGAATTCGTTGAAGGCCTTCGCGATCTGTTCTGGGGTTCTGACTCGATGATGCTCGGGTCAGGCAAGCCGTGGCTCAAGAGCTGGCCGAGGCTCCGGGGCCGCGACAGGCTGGCGTAGTAGGCCAGCCAAATGGACTCTTTTTTGAGTCCTGGCGGCAACGTCCAGTGCACGATGAAGCCTGGGTCCGCCGTCTTGCACTGCGCGCCATGCAGAGTGCCCTGCTTCTTGGGCAGCACGGTCAACTGTGTCCTTGAGACCGCGATGGCCGGGCCATCCGCCGTCGCTGTGAACTTCCAGGGACGGGCCTGCGGGGTAATCGCGAGCACTCCGCGCAGGTCAGGGCCGGCAGGCCAGCAGTCACCGGCGCGGCCTTCAAGAAGAGCTCATCGCTGTCATCGATCTTGACATAGACGGCCTTTGGCATGTAGCGGAGCACCGCAACGCCATCCGAGACAACGGACGCGCGACCCTCCACCGGAGGCTCCAGAGCGCGCTGCCCTATGCCTACCACCTTGCCCGGCGCGCCGCGGACATACTTAGGTGGCAAGACGGACTCCGTCAGGATGGCCTCCATGCCGAGGAAGAGCGGCAGCAGCCCCAGCATTTTTCCAGTGGCGCCGATGCTGGGCTCCGCGCGCATCTTGTCGAAGTCAGGCTTCGCGAGGCGCGCAGCTGGTCTGCCGACTGCCGGCACGTAGAAGAGCAGCTGGCCAGCATCGTGCGCATCAAGCTTGGCCTGCGCATGCATGGCGCAACAGACGATGCGCCACTCACATGCCGACTCGTACCAGCCTCGGGCTGCACGCAACCAGTGATCCCACTGGGGTTGCTGAGCGGCTTCGCTGGTGCTGGCAGCAGGCTGACCAGCATCGCTGGAGCTAACGATCTCTGTTTTGAGGATCGCTTGCCAGCTCTCGTCAGAGATCTGTTTGCCGCCTGGAGTCCTCATGGCGTGAAGGACCTCGACCTGCAGCGGGTCTGCGAAGCGCTGCATCTGCACGAAGTCGACGACGAACTCGAAGTCGGCGAGCAACTTCCGAGCCTGTTGGTGCTCGTAGGACTGGCCCGTGTGAGGCGCCAGCAGGGAGGCGCCGGCGGGGGCCGGCGGTAACTGGTAGAAGTCCCCGCAGAGGATCTTCGCTGGCATCGCCCCCACGTCTCCTGCGGGAGCATGTACTTGGTAGAATCGAGGTTGTAGCGCAGCGCCCTGCCGTAGGTCGTGCGCAGTGCATCCGCATGCAGCAAGGGCCCCGGCACAGCACCCAGCTCATCGATCACGTCGACGCCGAGTGTGCCTGTGAGGCGGTCGAGCTTTTTCTGCGTCTGCGAGGTCAAGCGCAGCCTGGCGGTCTGCAGGGAGTCCGACATGAGGATGCCGTTGCGGGAGTTCAGCGTCCTCTCGCGCGGGCCGAGGTTGTGGGCCGCGTGGTTGGACGTGCTTTGGCGAGGTAGCCGTGCTCGCCGAAGTGGATGATGGCCATAGGCTCCACCACTCTGGAGAGGGTGCGTGTCTTGCCGACGCCGCCTCCTCCGAGCCAGATTGCTTTGTGGTTGCCCGTCGCGGACACCACGGGGAGCAGATGCGTTGTCTTGTCTGGCCTGCCGTCAAAACGTTTCTGCAGGGACAGCGCGAACAACGCCACCGCGTCAATCTGCTCCTCCGTGCACTCTGCATCAGCGACCAGCTTCCACGCAACAGCCGCCGGGCCCTGCATGGCCAAGAGCTGCGGCACGAGCTCCGGCTGCGCGTCCTCGGCAGCAGGCTGAGGAGCACCACTGGGTTGCCAGTCGCCCCCAACATCGGGCAAGGTCTCTCCATCCGGACTCGCTTGCTTCTTCTGGAGCGCAATGCTCTGCCGCTGTAGGGCCAGCATGTCAAAGATTCTGTCGTCCAGCCGCGTGCCCAGATGCTCCCGCGCGCCGCTGCTGGCTGGCTGCGCAAAGCGCGCCTGCAGCATGCCGCCGTACGCTCGGCCCAGGTTCTTCAGCTGCTTATCCGCGTAGCTGAGGCGGCTCTTCTGGCTCAAGCGCTGCAGTTGGTCTTGCTACAGAGCCAGCTCGGTTGCTCTGGTGTGGTCCCGCAGCGGAAACATGGAGATCTCGGTAATTTCGGCGTCCTCAATTTCCTCCTCTACGTCGCTGCCACCGCCTCCGCCCACGTCAACGAGCTCCAGCGGGACCCGGCCCTTGGGCCCTTCGGCATCGCTCGCGGAATCCTCCTCCGCCTCCAGGTGCGCAGCCGCTGCCGGCCGAGGCTTAACCCGCGCCTCCGCCGCGAGGTCCACGTGCGCCAGCACGTCTCGCGCCGCGTGCGCGCAGAACTCCGCCAAGGTGCACTGCTCCTCGTGCCATCGGCAGTGGTGGTTACTGAAGGCGAGGATGCGCCGGGCCGCCTCCACAGGCATGCGCCGCGCCAGCTGGGCTCTTGCGAAGTTCGCTAGGCTGAAGAGCACCAGCTCGCCCTCCTCGAGGTTCGCCCGGGGTTCTTTCAGCTCGGAGAAGAGGGTCGCGTCCGCGAGCACGAGCCTCTTGCGGGCCAGGCGGCACCTGGAGTCCGCGCGCGCCGCCGGCACGTGGATCTCCGCGCACCGAAGTCGCCGCGCCCGCTCGAACGAGTGTGGGCGCACGGCAGGGCAGTCGCAATTCTTCAACATATGGCTGTGCTGGGGAACGCTGCCACAAGTGAGGGGTCCCTCGCACGCCCAAGGCGTGAAGAGGAGGGCCTTGAAGAGCGAGTTGTGCTCTGGGTCCTGTGCCCAGGTCGGGCACTGGAAGCCGTCGATGGTGGGGGCGTCCATCCGCGTCAGTTGGACCTCATGCACGCACCGCGGAGCCATGGCGCAATGGTTCTCGAAGACGAAGAATCTCGGCCCAGAAGCTTTCACCCGGCTCGGCTTCAGGACTCGGCGGACGTACATCCTGTAGATGTAGTGCGGCATGGTCTCCAGGCGAGGGCCCCTGTGGGCGTAGTCGTCGGCCGTGTTCGCGCTGGTGGTGCACGCCTGCATATCCTCGCACTCCGCGCCGTCAGCCTGCTCATCACCAGCAGGGGTCTCTCCAGGAGGCTGAGGGGCACCGCTGGTCCCATCTGCGGAATGCTCTTCTTCGTCCTTGGCGACTGGGATCTGGATGCGGACTGCCTGTATTGGCACCTGTTCATTCTGCTGCATCTCGCCCGCACCTTCGTGGTTCAGCAAGCGCCTGCACTGCTGGCAGGCCCACTGCAGCTGTCTCGTGAAGAGGCGCACATTGTGGTGCGACTGGAGGCAGTCGCCGCCTGTGAGGATGTGCAGCGCCACCTCCGTCGTGGAGAGCCAGAAGCACCGGTTCGCCATCGAGGCCAGCCGGATACAGACTCGCCGAACGCGACGAGCGAGGTCCTCGGTCGCCCGGCGCCGCTTGGCCAGCGTCTGGTCCTCGCCATCAGCGCCGCCGTCACTGAGCACCTTGCGGGCCTCCTCCTGCTCCTCCTTCTCCTGCTGTTCCAGACGCTGCATGCCGCCGAGCATGGACTGGAAGAGCGGCGTCATGGATTCCATCATCTTGTCTTGGTACTTGGTGATGTAGAAGTCCATGGAGAAAGCCTTCTGGAAAGCCGCTTGGAGGCTCTCCACGACCGCCGCATCTTG